GTTTTAAGATGAGAATTTAATATCAAGTCCAAATAACTGATCTAACAAACGAAGGTAAAATAGCTTTGAAATTTGTTAAAATATGGACTGCAACTTTTGAAACAATAAATGCAAATTTATCGAAATCATGCATTTAATATCAAACAAGTTTTATCTTCTTCGGAAAACTTTTAAATCTTTGTTTTAGAAAGGCCGATGATATAATTCTTTATAAAATTTTATTATTTGGTTCCTTAATAATAAATTGTATTAAAAAGTCTTAGTTGATAATTAAATCAGTACTAAAACTTATATTATTAACTCATATTTTCCTAGCAGCTTGGTTGCTCACAACAAGTTGCCGACGTGCTACTTAAAACCACCACCACAAAGGCAAAACCGCATATTCAAGAGTGAGAGATAAGTCTCGGAGAACACAAAACTTTGCTAATTGCCGCGTAGCGAGTACTTTTTGCAACGCCTGGTGAAGTCCTACGAAGCAATAAATTCGCCCAAAGTTGGTCCCCACGGGTACGAAACTCAGCAAACAGTCGTGTTTATCTGGCCGCGAAACCACATAAATTATCCGGCAATGGAAATTTATACCCGTGAAGCTCAGAGGCCCGGAGGGATCGAAAAGTGGCGTGTCCCTTTTCATAACTCTCTCTCTCTCTCTCTCTCTCTCTCTTGGCCGCCGTCATCTGCAGATTCGTATATTACGAATATTCGATTCACTCCTACTGGAGAACAAAATGAAAAGCAGGCTTGGATTTCATTAAATGTGAGACTTAATTTATATTCTCCTCCACCATGAAAAAATTTCAATTGCACTGAATTGCACTGTCGCTCGCATTGTGTAATGAATTCTCACTATCAATCGCGTGCAATTTATTCCCCGTTGCTTTTTTCCACTGAAGTGGAAAGAGGAGTACATAGGTGTAGAATGAACAAAGCGTATAATATTGAAATTGTTTGTTTGAAATGTACAAAAAGCAGAAATATTATTCAGTTTGATGAGCGAGAACACAATTCAAAAGAGCAGCTGGAACACACGATGTAGGTATTTAATTTTCTTTCTCTATCTTATGAATAATTCAGTGCTTTAATTTCAAAAGGGACTAGTAAAAAGAAAAACTGTTGTGAAAGAGATATTTCCAAGGGTTGTTTGGAGTATTGAATTTCGAGCATTTCATGTTTTAAAATAAAATTTTGTTCGTAAATGTTTAAAAAACTGATATCTCGGTCATTTTTAATTATCTAGATCTATTGATTTTAGAAATTTTATAAAAAGTGTATAATTTTTACATTAATTACCTTCATTAATATTTATATACTAGAAAATAAATAAAATTTGTGTTTTTCAGTAAAATCAAGTTTTTCTGCAAAATACGTACATTGTATGTTATGCATATACGTATATATGCAGCCATTAACAAATGGGATTGCATAAGGATCCCAACCCACCCAATCAATCAACCAAGCAAACTGTGTTCTGACAATTGCAATCATCCACGTAATGCGGCATCCAATTAAAACCATCAGCCGGCTCAATTTCCAACATCACACTTCTGCTCATCAACTAATAACAAACATTGCTGTTCCAGACAAGTTAATTAAAAGCAAATTAACCTTCCAACTATAAATCCTATCAATGCATGTAGACTGGTGTTCTTTAACCAATATTAAACAGTCTAAATCTTAAATAAAGTTGTAAATTTTTACAATTGCAAAGCAACCATAAATATTCTATGGGTAGAATCAATATCAACGATAGCATGGAAAAGAAAATACGAAAAAAGTATTTTTATCTCTGGCCGTCTCTAGGGGGATCATTTGTGTTGGCGAGATAAGTGAAGTGATTACACGTAATGCATATTGCATTAGGAGAAAAGTCGGAAGGAACGTCTGGACTCCACGCCATCAAGTTTAGAAGCGGAAAGTTTGGGTGGGTCTCTATATAGTTGGATATTATGCAGTCAGCAAATCCTTCCATTTCATGATTAATATTTAGTGAGTCTGAAAAGTTTGAATTAACTGATTTTAGTTTCAGAGCAATAAATAAAATTGTATACATAAATACTTTTTTACAAGAAAAAAATATTTTACAAATGAAATCGAATGAAAGTTTTATGGAAATCTTTGAAAGAAAATATTTTTCATCAACTTCCAAGGCTACCTTTCTTTACAATAATAATTTATTTTTTGTTATTGTCGTTAAATATTTATATTTTTTGAAACAAATTACTTCTCAATTGAAATTGTTTATTTTAAATCTGTTTCAATTCTTAGTATATAATATAATTATGTATTACTTTTATGTTACCTGCTCTGTACAGAAAGTTGTGGCAGTCTTTGGGCAAAAAAAATATTAATTAAAAAGTTCTGTTTGGCATGAGAAGTGCTTTATAGCGCAGTTAAGAGGCAGAATGAAAAGTTAGTCGGTTTAATTCTCTTCTCTGTACTTCCAGTTAATTAGCTGCAGTGCGTCTCACTTAATCCTTTTTAATTTAATACGCGGCATTCTTTTCCGTACATAAGCTCTCCTTCATCTCTCTCTCCGAAACTCATTTGAGAATCGTCCTTTATCTGGCTGCGTGCAGGCGCGCGTCATTGGAGCTTGTTATCCCGAGAGCAATGCCAGAGAGTAACGAGAGAGTATTCAGCTGCCCCTCTCTCACACAATCAGTCCGAATGGGACGCGAAAATGGAGCACCAGATAAGCTAGAAAAGTCCGGATTGGCTCCTCGGCGGAAATAAACGATGCGGCCCAGATAGCGCAAGTAAATGCGCGGCGACCTTCGTAATTGCGGCAATTTGGCTGCCAAACGACGCGAATTCACTCGGAATTGCCATCACAAATCATTAGGCTTATCAGGCCTCCAATTAAGTCGGGAGAATTCTGCGAAATTGCTTGTAAACAAACTTTGGCCGAACCTTAGCTCTACATCTCGACGATGAAAAAAATTATATCTGCACTGCCATTGCAATTGTTCTGGATTTTTTTTCATTTTTTTTTTAAAAGTAGGTGCCAATTCTGGAGATATTTTTTGATGATGAGTGAAAAAAATAATAGGTGATTTTACTTAAAAAATGTTTTGCTCTTTAGGCTGTATAAAAAAATTAAAATCATTTGAGGCTATTGTGAATGCAGCTCTAACCTAATTAAGTTTTTGTGTGAATTTTCATTAATTTTTACGATATTAGGTCTCTCTTTTACCACTTATAACAAGTTTTTGAAAACACATGAAACGGAATAAATATTCGTTTGGATAGAAATTTGGTGCATAATCATGGATAAATATATAAATAAAGGAGCAAAACTTATGATTTTTGTAGGATATTTTTTGAAGCAGAAGATTTCCGAAGGAATTTTTTATCTTGACAGTTGTTGTTTGTTTGGCTTCCATTCTTTCTCCGACTGTCATGATTTATCTTCACGCCGGACGAGAAAGAATGGATGGCGGTGGCGCCTCAGAATTCGCAAATTTATCGTTGTGTCATCACAAGAGACTGAATATTATTATTTGTCCGCTAATGACGCTTGCGTCCTCTCTGCAGAAAATCCAATCAATACATACGCGGGAGGCGCAAAGACAAAAGAAGGAAAAAATTCCCCAGGGGATTATTTCTGGGAAAAGCGGCGACGACGGCAAAATCCCTTTTCTCCTATGAGTACGAGGTATTCCCGAAAACAGAACGTGCACGTTTTCTTTTTTTTGCATTTTGCGAGAGAACTCATACAATTTATATTTTTATAATAATATTAGAATCCTGATAATTTTAGCCAAATGTTATCAAAAATAATTTTAATTCACCAGATACCAGATAGATGATTGAATAATTGTTATTTGTTCTAATGGATATGAATTAAAAACCGTAATAAACTAAAACAATTAATACACCCTCATTAGGTACCATACCTTATAAATTAAAATGACTGATCATCCCTTCTTGGAGAGGATCGTTCAAAAAAATCTGCGTTCTATCTCATAATTTGTAATGTTTAGGTCGCTTTCTTTTTTCACATCACAAAATTAATGTTTTTAATTATGATTACAAAGTACCCTGACTTACAATTTATTGTGACTATTTAGTCGAGGGCTATAAACGCAAACTTGCAAACTAGGAATACTACTACGCTGAAAATCAGTAAACAGAGAAAAGCCTTTGCTTCGTTTTAAACATTAGTGTTTTTTAATCAATGACGCAAATTTTCACAAAATCAAAACTGCGAACGTAATGTAGATCACATCCTAAAAGGATGTTACTCATATTTAAAAACATCCTGTCGGCCTCATGTTCCCTTACAAAACACCGACAACTGTTTCAGTCTGATTTTGGTGAGAAAAACATGAAATTCTGCTGCGTGTCAAGTGCATCACTCTTATTAATCGTGATATTCGTTTTGGTATGTGAAAAATAACATCTATGATCAACATAATAGAGAACTCTCTTATAGAATTTTCAGCGAACTGATGGAGTCAATCGTGGAGTTACCAAAAATATTAAAAAAGGGCATCAAACAGAATCGCCAAACTCTAAAACAAAAAGTGACATTTTTTTATAGTTAATTAGTTTTTATGTTTTATTTTTATACAGAAAATATGAATCGCAAATATATTATTCGGTGCTGTGGAGCTACTACTTGCAGCAAAGAATTTCAACAAAAACGACATGAACAATCGGTATTTGTAATTAACAATTTGATTTATAAAATTTAGTGCAATTTTAGAAAAACGTGATTAAGAAAATTTTGCTTAAATCTCCTAGATAGCAAATGTCACATCTGCAACATTACCAAGTACAGAAACCACAGTAAATAACAATCAGGTCATTCAGGAAGTCACCTTAACATTCGTTACTCCTAACGAAGCTACTGAAGATATTTCTCAAACAGGCGCATCGTCTTTAAATTCTGATGAAAAATCAACTGTAGATGAATTTTTGAATCTTTCAGCGGAATCAGCTACTAACATCGATGAATTAAAAACCAGTATTTTATCTTCATAAAGCTAGAAGCTATGAAAATAACTCAAATTTTGTTAGGTAATCCAGCCCTTGAGCAAATTCCCCCAGAAAGTTCAGCAATCACGTTTGAGGGGTTAAGTTCGGCGTCTGAGAACTCTGATATGTCCATTCTGGAATCAACAACTGAGAGTTTAAGAAACACTGGAACAGAAAATCTTCCTCCAACAACAATTGCATTTAACGCTGAAAGCGTTTCCAGTGTTTCTGACCTAGGAAGCTCGCAATCTAACAGTCAAAAGCTAACAGCCGCAGCAGCGTCTACTAATTTGCAGGCCACAATCAAGCAAATTACTTCAACTAACAATAAAACAAGCACTGTAAAGTCGTCCTCATTATCTGCCAATAAGCCTACCTCGCCGATACAAACTGCTACTTCTTTTGTGACAAAACTTGCCTTAACTACCGTAGCAAAATCTACCAGCAGTGCACCTACACCAAGCACTTTTAAGTTATCCTCATTATCTACACAAAAGACAACCTCACCAATGCAAACTGCTACTTCTTCGGTGACGAAAATTTCCGCAACAACCACAATAAAATCTGCCAGCAGTGCACCTACGACAAAGTTGTTCTCATTATCTACCACAAAGTTACCCTCACCGATACAAACGGCTACTTCTTTGGTGACGACAACAAAGCAACTAATTACGTATGGAGGGGTGACAACAACGTCGATCAAGCCTCAGACGACTGTGACGACAATTAAATCCTCAATTCCAATTACAACCACAACTCAATCAATGACCAGTACCAAGATTACTACTAAAAGAACCACAATCACATTTACAAACCGCCCCACTATAAGCACAACCACCACTGTTAAAACTACAACCATTTCCCGACCTTTATCGAAGGAGGTATGATTTCTTATAAAACATAAAAATATATAAAAACCGCTAAAATTATATTTCAGAGGCTATTCAACTGTTCCACTCAGCAGTGCCACAAAAATGTAAACAATTCATAAAAACCATTATTTGAATATTTAACGGTAATATGGTTTTAAATGCAAAATTTAGAGCACGCTTCTAAAAGATGACCCTGCAAAGAGTATGAAATCATTTATTAACATATAGATTAAATGGATTAATATTACGCTTTTAGTCCTTCGAGCATCTTGGTTCACTGCCTGTGAATATTCTTTTATTTTTGGAACGTCTCTAGTAATTAATGAATTATTATTCAAATGAAATTTTGTTATGACTAACAACGCTCCATTCAGGTCACTTGGGAAGATAATTTTAAGTTGTGCTGCAGTGTGAACATGACTCCTATAGCATTTGAAAACGACATCAAACGAACCTGTCTAGAAAAATCATTAGGTACAATTTTTCATGTGTAAACATTTAATTCCCTATATTTTGGTAAGAATCACAATAGATGGATGGAGATTAAACAAATTTTACTGGACATCAGGAAGAAAACTGTACCACACAAATTATTCGTTTGAATTCTGTCACTCAAGGGGTGACATTGTGCAGAAGGGTACATCTGGTAAATTTTGGGCCCCTAGGGAACCAATGGAAACGTGGGACAAGCTCTGCTTACTTTCATCCATTGACAAAAATCGTGACTCCGTTAGCCTTTATGCGAGAAATTGTTCAGAACGTTTCCTTCTTGCCTGCCAAGTAATTAAATTTTTTTATTTTTGGAGTTATATGAAACTGATGTCCAAAATTCTAGACTAAGGCCACAACAACGCCAGTACCAGACATAAAATACCAAAATTGCAAATTAGCTCCAACCTGCCAAAGAAACGTGTGTTCAGGTTTTTTTTAATTTTTTTTAATTAAATTCCAATGCAGGGCAGTTTATTTGTATCGCAAACTGGAATCATGGTTCTGAAAGGTTTTCCAATAGTTATCTATTGAAAAACATTTGAATGATCTGATTTGTTAATTTCAGCTTCAGAAACATATGGAAAGTGGATTAAAATTTCAGGGCGGGTTTACATGTTTAGTCACGAAAGTTTAAATGTATCACAATCTAAATCCTGAAACTAAACAAATTTTATTTATTGTAATTTATATTTTTGATCATGGTGCAATCAGTGGGAAAATGCAATATCAAAATGCTGCGAGATGGGAATGAAGCTGCTCAGTCTGGACTACAAGCACAAGTACGAAAGTTTGGCTTCAATAATTTCAGGCATGTTAATCATTTTTATTCATGACAGTGATATTAATTTAAAATTTTGATATGATGTAGAAAATAAAACTTTTGAGGGCACATACTGGACATCCGGTGCGAGGATCGCGGACAAAAACAGTTTTGGGTGGTGTGCAAGCAACATGAGGGTGAGAGACGGTGTTTACGCTGCAGGTCAGCCAAATGATCGTGGTGACTGCTTGGTTGCCGAGCTGAAAGGTGGTTCTGTTAGTCTGATCAGCCAGAATTGCAGCAAAACCTCGCTGAAATTCATATGCGAGGTATATAGAGAGAACAATGAGATATGTGAAGCGTTTCCGATTTTTTATATGTTATTGAAAGTCAATAATTTTTTGAAATCATTATCATTAACTATTAGAATCCTAATGGAAAAATTGTATGCGATTTTTCAGGCACGAGATACTACAAAGGCTTCATCACCTGGGAGAGCAATCTTGCAAGAATGCGGAGAAATATATAATATCACTATGAGTAAACACATTTTGAAATTATTTAATGAGAGCTGGAAAAAATACTGAACAATTCATTATTAATAGCTGAGATTGATTCTTTGTGGTCTAGCAAAACATTTGACATGAGATTAAAGGTAATTAAAATAAAATTTTTACATTTAATATAAACTGTGTATTAAATTCTTCCTAGTGTTTTGTTAAATGCGTTGGCGAGTTTGGAAATTTGGTATAAATAATCATTTTATGTGTAAATTGATAAAAGCTAAATCAAAAAACAATTGTGAAGATTTTGGAAGGGCAGATTGTAACACAGGAGATGATACGCATTGCTGAGCAGTTCACTATGGGAGGTGATGTTAGCTTACTAAATAAAAACATGGAGGTTGCCTCAAAGTGTGGAAATAAAGGTACAGAAAGTTTAACAATCGAATATATGAATAAATTTATAGATTTTCTTCAGTGGGCATGGATGAATGTGACACGGCGTCCCTGGCATTCAGTTGTGTTGCCGAAGAAGCACCAGATATTATGCAAAGAGCTTTACTTAAAGCGGAAATTAATGCCTCAGCGGTATTCATAATTTCATTATATATATATATTCTTGCTATTTAATTCATCTTTTTTATAAAATACTTAAGCAGCAACAAACGAACCATTCTTTTAAATTTTTCGCTTGATTTAAATTAAAACTATATTTAAATAAATTATAACAATTTTTTACTAGGAGTCGGTTGGTCTACCCCTCGCACAATCCTACTGCAGATACGACGTCCCTTACGGTCTTAATGCAAGTTAATTTTTTAAACAAATTCTGGACTAGAGAAATTACCTTAGCATGCTTTTTACTTTTAGTTTGCTTGGCGCCAAGCGTATTTAGACGAAAATCGTAACAATTCAAGCATCTGTTTTATTGTCTGATCAAAATAAATTAATTCTTTTTTTTTCTAAAATCCAGCAAGTCCGGGTGGTCCACTGACGAGAGCATATTACAATCAATGTGGCGCACGAAATTATTTGCTCATTGAGAGCAACGATACCGTTAGTCATATTGCCAAGTTTAGATATAAATTTTTAAACTGAATTTTTTATTCAGACCAGCATTGGACCAGCAACAAGAGCTTGTTTAGAGTATGGCTTGCAACATGTGTCATTTGAAACTTTTGAAGAGCTTCTGTGTGTTAACGAACTGTTTGCTGGTATGGAAACAATTTGCCAAATATTCATTGCCCACAAGTGCACCCATTTAATTTAATCTGATATTTTGCAGTTCCAAATAAAGTTTACACGCTCTGGACATCAGCATCATTCATGAGCTTGGCAGATTCGCCAGTTTGGTGCGCGACTAATGCTCCTCTTGACATCTCTTTGTACCCGTGGAACCTACAAGGGGTAAAGAAATTCACTGGAACCAGTGCTGGAAGGATGTTTGTAGTAGTTGTAATTAGGAAAATCGAACCGTATTTGATGAATATTGTCAATTCTGGAATTCTTGGTGGAGTATTGTGTGAGGGCAGATATAAATAAATACAAGAATTAAAAATACAGCATTGAAGAAATAAATTTGTTGGTAAAATTTATGAAATTAAATTTGTGTTGAAATAAATATTTGTATTGGTGTTTAAAATTTCACTTTTCTTGTTTATTTGAAATTGGAAATCGGTATTTAAAAATTGATCTGTTTAAGAATTTCAGTGCATTACAATATTAAAAAAAAAATATAGAAACTAAATAAAACTCCACTTTCGGTGAAGGTATCAAAAAGGTCCGAGTTTAACTTTGATTTTGCAAGAGTGTGCAAGATATGACCTGGATTCATCGATTGGCAAGTGAATACCAAGGGGTATTTATGCTGCAAACAACTCATTAAATTTTTCCGGTTGAATGCTGATAGAGGAATTTCCAATTAGGGCGTGTTTATAAATGTGAAACGAGCGTCGATCCATTGAGATTATCAGGCCGGTGGAAAAATGGATTGGATTCACGGCAGCAGTCAAGCGAGCGGAAAATTGATTGCGAGAGAGGCGGACGTTGATGAATCTTAATTGCGCTCGCGTCTCTTCTTGTTTTCTTTGGCTTCGCATTTCCGAGAGAAGGAATGAGAGATAGCGATCCTTCAAAGTAAAGGAAATGGATGGAGCCGATCTGTTTTTCTGTAGAAGCGTTTTCAAGTTGAAAACAAAAGCTGTACTTTGCAGTTCTCGCTGACGTCGTGACGAAATTGAAAATTCTGGGGTGCATTGTTATGCGGTGAAAGGGGCGTCTGACAGTTTGCATTAAAAAAAGAGACGTTGTTTTGCTGCGTGTCAGAAGCAGATTACGGTGCAGACAATGTTTAGTAACTTGACGCCCTGACTGTTATAATAGCGTATACTGACAACAGTATTGATTTACAGCCGAAAATTTCAACCTTATCAGCAAATATCGTGTTATTAAAAAAAACAATATTTAAAAATACATTTTCTTGTTTAGTAAAAGTTAGAGTAGTCGGTTTGAAATTACTCTAAATATTATTTAAATTTAAAATTAGAGCAGAAGTAAACATTTAGTATTGAAACTAGTTGGAAAAAATAAATCAAATTCTAAGTTCAAACAATTTTCGTTTAACAAAGATAAGAAGTAACGTGAAAATGAAATTAATGCCAGCACCATTAACGTTAATTGAGTATACATATTATTAACAAGCTGCCGACTTAACATTTTTGAATTTAAAAGAATATTGCAATTTCCCTTCGTACAAATATCCATGGCACAGGCAATGGATATTTTAATGCAAGAGATTATTGCTTTTATTCTATGAATCATCCACTACCTCTCTTTCGACTTTTGCCAATACGGGCCATCAGCCGTTCACTCGCACCCATCAGTTCAACAGATTTGCCAATGGCCTATAAATAACGCATTTATGAATCTTGGACGGCGTCCAGCGCAAGTGAAACGAGGTCGGCCGTCGCACTAGCCTCACCATAAATATCGTAATGACCGCAAGCAATAATAAAAGAAAGAGCCTTCAAGCAAAAAGCCTAGAGTAGCTCGGCAGCAATTAGAAAATTGGCTTGCACTATGGATAAAATTTATTCTTCTACTCGGCAGCGACAAACACATAAAAACCACTCGCATTTTACTCCCGCCACCGTCGACGATATGAAATATTTAATGGCTGCAGAACTGCTGTGATGAGAAAAGTGCTGCTTGCGCTCTTAACAAAAATAAAAAATAAAAACAAGCCTGTTGAGCTGAGCTGCTGGTCAGCGCGCGCCGATGATTTGTGTGTTATCCGCATCGCAAAAAAGGAACGAGAACTGTAATGAAATGCGCGGTGGAGGAAAATTTATAATTAAAAATTAGCAGCCGCAGAGCCTCGAGGGCCCTCGTTTTCCGAGGCAGGCAAAGCGCCGGGCATCAATGTTGTGCCGGTTGCATAAACAAGCCATTGTTCATACAATGAAAAACTATGCATCATGTTATTCCTCTGCAATAACATTTGATTACATACAATAGAGAGTTTGAATTGTTTGTAGCTAAACATTGCCATTTAAATTAATTGAGAAATTTAATTATAGTTTTAAGAACTAGGATGTATTCAAATATGGATCATTGACTCTAAATTTTCAGGATAAATAACTTTTGAAAACAAATTTAGATATCTAAAAAAAAGCATTCAAAATAATTTAATTTATCAATTAATTTTCAATGATGAGAATATAATCATTACAAAACGCAACCCTTGAACTTATTGCAGATTTCAAGTCTGAATTCATTTTGTTTCATAGTTTAAGCTATAAACGGAGTACCTCCTTGGCTTAAAATTTTGCCCACGTCAGACGGGCAGATAATTTGGATACATGGGGCGATACGTCGACGTGGCGAAATTGCGGCGCCGATTAGTTTAATCCCCTGGGTATGATCAATTATTTTATTACGAGACGACAACGGCGCGCTCGTGTTTTGAATAATCCGGCCGGCGACGGAAGGTCACAAGGCCATGTTTCATTAAATATGGCTGGGTATTGCCGGTTTTATTACGGACTCGCACACCACCGCTTGAATTGGTGGCTGCGCGTGCCTGGGATTAATTCTGCGTAGTGGTGAACGAGAGGAGTTACACGGCAAAGCACTCTAGAAAACGAATCGTATTTTAGCAGATTTTTCTCCCTTCAAAAGACACACGTCGTCCGACGACAAATAATCCGCTCATTTTTCCATTTATTTTCGCGACGTCTAAGTGTTTTTTTCTCCAAGATGCAGCGCGCGTGCACGTCATTTATCTTGATACCCTGCTAATCCGCGAGCATGATAATAATTTCTCTCTTACTGAGCAAGGCAATTTTTCTTCCCGCTGGTCTATCAGATGACGGGGCTAGCGAGTCTGGATATTGTACAGAAGATATAATATTTTATATTCAAAAAGTTTGCAGCTCGATGGGGGATTTTCTCAAGATTGAATTATCTGCGTTCTCCACTTATCTATACCTGGTAATTTGATTAAAAACTTTTTTATTTAATCATCCAATCGAGTAATTTGTATGAAATTCAAAGGATTTGGGATTTTGATGTTGAATCAGAAGAAGTTAAATTGATTTTTTAGACAATTTTCTCCGTTGAAGGTTGATTCATGGTGTTTGAATTTAAATTTATCTTTCCTCGACGGGCTTTTGTGTCATTTATTGTGTTGTGGAAAAAATATCCTGTTTTACATGTTTCGGCGGGGAACTGAAACTCATTAATTGTGACTGCAGCCAGCAGTCCACCATGTAGAGCAGGGATATTGCTTTTTCTACACAATAATATCCGACTCTGAAAAAACCCATCAAGGAAAAACCTTATTAATGATTTTTAGCCTCATAATTTATTCTTAATTTTTGCAAATAAGATACTACCAAACTTTAATTTCACAATAAAATTAGTCATTATGCGATTAAAAGTACCAAAATGCTTTAAATTTTTGGGCTGAAATAATTTATTTGAAAAGATTTGCATGGATTTTTGTGCCAAATTAAAGTTTCACTAATTCTAGTTTTTTTTTCAGTTAAATAAAACTTGAAGCACTCTAATTTCCAAGAGCATTCTCTGATTTTTTCTTTACATTATAATCCGATATAACGACTATTACATTTTTTACTTTAACCTGGGGAACATTGGAATAACAAATTATAAATTGGACCAAGAATTGAGAAAAAAATTCCCACTTGTAAAAGTATCAACTAACTGACCTTTACAAAATTGATTTAGGAGATACTTTTCACAAGAAAAAATTGACCATAAAAATGTTATTTGAAAGTTATTCAGGAAATTCTATGGCATCGCGCCATAAATTCGCGTAGGAAACGAGTTTTCTTTCAAATTTATGCCTTCGACCTTCGAGCAGTTTATTTTTTTCCCATCTCTCTCGCGCGCCAGATACACTGTTTCGCGACAGCAGATCTATGAGCTGACCATTGCCATGAAGTATGAAGACCGTTACTTGGTCTGCAAATATTTTCCCATCGACCCAACAGCCTTGATTTAGAATCTGCGCCGGCAAACCGGGCAAACAAGCAAGCACCCTTATGTGAGTTGCCGTCCGGGCAAAAATGTGGAGACGCCGGAAATTACAGGGAAGGTGCCATGGGCGGCTCTCGCAATTAGTTTTGTCTCTTGCTGCCACCTAATTGGACGTGAAAGAGAACCAGGCTTGTCATATCCTGCTGGTAGGAAATCCACTTTTGATTTGGTAGAGCTTCCCCAATATAATTGCATCTGAGAAGCATGATGGTGTAGGCGGCTAGTTTTTGGTTAAAGGGAGAGTGGACGGACCAAATTGGATCTCTGCTTGCTCCTATCATTGGCAATGTTTCAATGAAATTAGATTTTGGTTATCTATTTAACCATTTTTTTTTTCAATTAATATAACTGCTTTTTTTAATAAAATTCAGCATTTTAATTCATATTCATAGTAAAAAATCTTCATTTCCATTTTGAAAAAGAAAGAAAAGAAACACAGCAAGGTACATTAAAATTTAAGCTTCTCACGTCAGTTAACAGAGTTGATGGAAATGTTAAAGATTCTTCTGGATTTGCTCTTTATCATAAATGAGCGGAAAGAACTTCAAACGATCCCCTTGATCCTATAAACAGAAATATAACATTATTATTATTGTTGTTTATTTGTCCACATTGTTACAAATACATTGTTTACATTCAATTTTTGAAAAACAATTATTTAGAAAAAGAGAATGTTGGACAAAAAGGCATCACCACTAGCAAAAATTTTGCTAAAACTTCCGAGATCAAAAAGACCCCATCCGCCGCAGTGAGCCTGCGATTTTGATTTTAAAAAAATTGGCCATATCAAATTTTGGTGAAACTCTCTACCTTGCCACAATTTTTTTTTTGCATTTTGTCCCAACAATAGGTAATGCTAATAATTAAAAAAAAAATGGAAGAAATAGTTTCATTGCAAGGGATTAAATTCTTTTCATTTCAGGGATTGATCTTTTCATGAACTGAATTTTATTAAAATTTCATTTTTTACGATTTTTTATTTCTCATTATATTAAAATAGTTTCTCAGAATTTAATTAAGCTTAATTATCATAAAATTAATTTATAAAACCCACGTGGTTAGAGGCATAAATTTTGACAGTAACAAATTGAAACCTTAGGCAGAGAGATGAAAATCTGACATATGAATTCTGAGGCTGTCAAAAAGCAGAGGCATGGAAGCGCTGTGCTTTCACTCTTTCACTTCGAATAGCTACACCGTGCGATCGAAAAGCCACTTTTGAAAGCGAAAAATGTAATGTCAAGCTGGCTCGCGCTGCGTTTTCACCCCCTGTATTCCTCTATTACTCAAACCGATTTCGATTTTTTTCCTTCACGAGGGTTTGCTGTAAAAAAGCGACAGCAAACGCGGTGGTGTAATGATTATGCTCTCGACAAATCGAGGATTCGCTTTTACCGCAGTGGAAAAAAAATACTAGTGTGTATGTGAACCGGAGCAAAGCGTAATGTGGCCAATCGCACAGAGATCAATTCGTCATTTTTATGTCTGCTCTTGTTAAGGTCCCTCCGGAGATTTATCATAATGCTGCTGGAATATCACTAGAAAGAAGTGACGCATTTGCAGTTTTTTGCTCGTTTGGTGGGAAAAGAAACTGAAAAGAGTCGCGTGATGCCCGAGTTTATGTCGATCGGATGATCCTTGAGAGCAAAATTAAATAAGAATGTCGGCAAAAGAAACGTCGTCGGCAAGAAAGGCGGAATGTACAATGGGCTCAAGTTCGAATTAGCATAATGCGATGACACAAACTTTGCCTGGAAAACTTTTTCGATTTTGCATTAAATGGGCGCAGAGAGGGAATAAATTTAAGACATCTGGTTTTATCGTCCATTCTAAGAAAGAACACCAAAAAACTTGCAGTTTAAATAAAAATATTTAAATCATATGGTTTAAATGTCTAATATTTTTTAAATTTTCATTTTTTTGGGTCAAATTTAGCGCTTCAAACTCTGCTATTGTGTTTTTCTGCTGTTCAAAAAATATTCTGGTGTGCACCGTTGAGCTGTGCCTTTTTTTCTCTCAACAAAATGAATTTTTGTTCGCAGGCGTCAATGCTATCTCCCCTGGGTGCTCCTTCGTGCGCTGACACAAAAATGTGCAGCAGTGAAGATGACGAGCTGACCAACTGCGACAACGTTCCTTCCGACCCAAAGTCGTACCCATTTGCCCTCGTTTTGCGTCTTCGAGTTATGCAGGTTTGTAATAAAATTTCACGTCATGTTGGTCAATCACTATCAAAATATTTGCTTTGATATCAATTTTATCAATGCAAAAAAAGTTATAAAAGTGGCAATTATTTTATGCACACATAAACACCAACCATTCAATCTCAAATATTATTTATTTTAGCAAATTGTGAAAAGAATAAAATCGATTCCAGGAGAATTACACTAAATATTGACATTCGAGACCAAAAATATTTGTTTTGATGTGGTTCAATTTTTAATCAACTTCGTCTGCAAAAAAAATCAACTGTGAGTAGCAATTTGTGTTTACATACATCATAACCTCATATGAACCATTCAATTATAAATGTTTTCTTAAGAAAATTGTGAAGTGAAAAAGTTTTTGGTAATTTAAACCACAGTTTTTTTACAAATTCAATTAATCAAATTTTTAATTTTTACCGTTTTCTGTACCATAATGTTTTAATACTTGGACACGTTAGTGAAGTTTTAAAGAGCTAGCAATTTAAAGTACACTTTTTTTTAAATTTTTCCATACTTATAAATATCCCCTCTCCTCAATATTGATTTTGCAAGGAATAGGAGTACCATACAGTCATGTGCATGTGTGTCAACTGCATTACTCGACTCTCTGGCCAAGTGACTCCCTGAATAACTAATGTCCACATGCAGTGCTAGCAATAAGAGTGCGGTCTAGTTGTTCTCCACATGCTGAAATAGTGAATAGCAAAAAGCACTAATATAAGTTGTATGTTGTATACAAAAACTTGGAAGTGAAGGCGGCATTGTGAGAATGCATTTGATTAAATTGTCAGCAGTTTATGCTTATTCAGTGAGTACACAATTTATCGTTTGCGTTGAAAATATTCATAGTTAGCAGCTCAGCACTTTATCCAATAACTTAAAAATCGATTTGACTGGAGGAGGTGTTCATGAATTTGAAAAAGTGGGTGCTCACTCGTTGAAATTTTGATTTTATTTTAAATAACAATAAGTTGTTGGATGTGTTGGATAAATTGTAAAATAAAAATTTTTATAGCCACCGCTTTTCATACATTAATAAAATATCAACATGGGAAAACTCTTTTCTTGAATTTTTTAAATTGATTGTTTGAAAAGGTTTAATTAGAATATTAACAGTTGTTGCACTATTATATTATATAATAATAATGATCTTGAGATATAATAGTCTCAATCCAGTTGTGATCGCTACCATAACTCTTGGAAAGGCAATTTAATTAAGGCTAACCTATGCTAGAGGTTGATTGGAAATCTTTTGCGCAGTTTGCGTGCCACGCAGTGGTATAATTATTGTTAATCTCTTTGTGCATTTTCTGCGTCAAAGCCATAAAGAGTCGCAGCACATCAAATGGAAGCGGGGCGGGGTGCATTTTACGCGGTTTGGCCGCAATTTGTGCAAGCAAAACAGCACTCGCATTCGTTGCGCCTAATGGCACGTAAATGTGCTGGCTGGCGCTCTTTCACCACCCGTTCGGAATTAATTCGGGAAAACGGGGTCATGGACGTGGAATATGCACACATCACATAGTGCAAATTGAACTCTGTGAAGTTGCAAAAAGGTCTGCGGAAATAAAAATAAAACAAACATTTATTTTGTCCAATAGAGTCAGTAAAATCAAAACATGCACAAAATTAATTCCATGTTTAAAATTTAAAACCATCGATCAAAAAAAGAATGTGTTTAAATCAAGTTTTTTTAATTGAGTAGCTCAATATGCAGTTACTTGATTTTGCAGCAAATTTCACTTGTATGCAAGGCAAGCTATTTTTACAATAATAATTCGCATATACATGAAAAAATGGAGGAATAATAAAGTACTTTTATTCTTGGATTTAAAGGAAAAAAAATTTCTGGAAGGGAAAAATCTGTCGTGCATGCTCTTGACAGAACAATTTTCTCCGTAAAAGTACAAAGTATATCCTTCGGGAAAAACTTCACTTCCAACTTTAACTGTGATTTTTTTCTCCGATGAAATTGCGTTGCAGCAACAGGGCCTATCAAGTTTTAATTAGCTTTGTGTGTACTTGACAAGAACTTTTCTCTATACACCCACTATCATGGTGAAAAAGTCAAAGTTCCGTTCAACTCATGGTGCAAATTAATTTTTCTTGGCGAACGTTTTCTGCCTCGTAGTCATTTCTCCACAACTTTATTCTTTATTTTCGTTTATCTTCTAAATTAAACTAACAAGTGCTGAAACTCTCGTGGGAAGCATTTTATAGTAAAAGGCTTCTTCTACAATAAATTGATTCGTATATGATTGAATATTTTACAGAGTTAAAAGTCACTTCACTGTTGAATCATTTTTTTTGATAAAGCGCGATTCTCATAAAATTTTCCGCAGAAATTTTACCATCTTTATATTGATGAACGACGAACGCGGCTTAAAAGAACGAAAAATGAAAAAAAAATGCGTGAAGAAAACTTTGGCTGGCGCGCCGGATAATTTCATCACGCCGAGCCCATGTGGTGGAAGCGATTCGGGGGTAATGGGCTGGCGACGTTTGGCGGCCGACGCGGCCGTAAAGCAAAACGGCGAGCACTAATCACGGACGATAACGCAGGCTCCGTCTTCATTCTCACGTTGTTTTATCAGATTTATAATACATCATGTCCCCCTCAGATAATATTCAGTACAAACATCGTCAATAATAATAAAAAAAAAAAATATGTAGGTCAGATACTGTAGGTGTAAGTTGTGTTTACTCTTATCTTCAAATGAAAAGTAAGATAGGGTACTTTATTTGAAAAAAAAATTCCATTGAAAATGTATCGAGGTGAATTAAACAAATGTAAATTCAGATATTTAGTCACATGATTAAATTTCTAAAAAATAAAAAAATAAAATTGATACGTATATTAAATTTATTTTACTCTTCATTTGAACGCAGATTTATGAAATTTAACGAAAGTTATAAATAAACTATTCTTTTTCTCTATAAATCAATTATCTGTAAATTTGACTTTTTCAATGAGACTACATTTGCCATTTTAAACTTGAACAGCCCTTTATTCCAGCTTTCCAAAAGCAACCGTTCAAGTCAAGTGCTTCTGGAATGCAAAGATCGAGGCGCTGCGCCGTGTTTGAACCGCCGCCGCGCATACCCGTCGAGCCGCGAGGCACAATTTCACTTTTGCTCTCTAATTAAACGGCAAGAAAGTGGGATGCAAATTTTCCTGACGCTTAATTACATTTTTCGCCGGGAGCAAAAATAAATTCTGCCCACTCTTGCTCTCGTTCTTGATGGAAATTTTTGCGTTAGCTTTTGCTGATCATTAACTAATAATTACTTTGCAATTCACTCTAGGGAAATTTTAGATTATGCGGAATTCACGTCACTAGTGTTGATTTACGAGGCTCAACATTTGCCCTCTCGAGCCGCCTACCATTGCTCCAGAGAAATTCAATTACATTATGTTCACTTTGCCTTCCACCCGCGCTACGTGGTGTTTTGAATATTGCTTCATTGCTGTGGATATTTTATAGATGTAATTTTTCCTCGATATTATTTTTGTTTTTAGTAATATTAATAATTTATTATCATATGGATTATTGTTCAATATTGTCTCATATATATTATGTTCCTAAAATAATTTGGAAGTTTTTATGATTTATTCACCTTACTTTTCCCTCAATTTTGTCGGGTAGCTGTGGGTTTTAGAATTGACTGAAGAGAGAGGAGAGAGAGTCGATGAGTGCGTGCGAGTTAGCAAAAAGACGCGCACCGGCAGCTTGACTTTCACAAACAAATTTCGCCCTCGCTTCTCGTTCTCCACGACGACGGCTGATTTAATAAACACACGCGCCCCTTTTGGAAGCACAGAGCGCAAACCTTGACCTTTTCGCCGGTGCTCGTTTACCAGAGTAACTGGAAAGGTGCTTCGGATGATATTTTCCTTTTTGCGATCCGATTTCAAGTTTCCTCTTTTTTTCCGACCGAGTCTTTGTGCAAATTCGCCTCTTCACGTCTTGCGCTTTGTGCCCGTCGAGTAAGAAAGAGCAAACTTTGGATCGTCAAAAGCGAGAATAATTCATATACCTGGGCTCCGAGTTGCTCAGGAAGGTGAAATTTATGTTTATTTTGCAACTCTTGTGCGTGCGTAAACAGGTGTTTAATTTCGCGTAAAAGCTTCTTGCTCGCTGCCGGTGGGACACACGTAGCTCGCTGCTCAAGGTAGCAAAGAAGCCCCTGGATAAATGTAACTCCATCACTGAGATGTGAACACTTCTTTTTTTGCTTTTTCGCGACTTGCATGTTTTCGTCTCCACGAGAGACATAAAAAGGTACACATTTGTGAAGCTGCCAGAGAGCAAGTGCGTTCATGTTTGTCACCCACAAGGTTATTATTAAAAACATTCTTAACAGAAAATATAATTAAAGGATGAGAGAAACTCAAAAGAGGTCTTTCTATTCTGTTTAAAATTTTAACAAGTTTGTACTTTTCTTTAACAATAAGAATGAATATTAATCATTTTTGTTTTATGTTACAGATTGTTTGCGGAATTTCTGCCATGGTAATGGGGACGGTGGCTTTGATTGAAGAGAGAGGCCAGATGAATCTTGGACTAGGGGTTCCTGCAGGTCAGAAACAAATAATGATTTTTATTTATTTATTTTTATTTTTTAACTTATGCTTGACTAACACTTTCCATGAAAATTTGAAGCCATGTTCAACCTTTTTGTAATGAAGAGAAATATTAAATACTACGTAAAAAAAGGATAATTATCTTGCTAAAATCTTATTTTCTTACTGTTTTTTTTTTATATCTGTTTATCGCTTGAATCTTATTTGACGCGTTGAAAATTGGAAAATTGGTACACAAATTTTACCTTCATTTGATTTTGTGCGGTTTTTCCACAATTTGAATTCTTATCACGTTCTGCGTTCCCTTTCAAATTGCATTGAAAGGGCACCCAAATGAATGCTTAAGAGAAGCTTGTCTCGCTTTCACCGTCAGAACTAAAAATTTTGTCATTGGCAGGGACTTATTCGCCCTCTTTCATTTCAACGAGAAGTGATAAAAGGCGATACGGACATACATGCGACGTGTGGGGAATATAAAAACAGTTTTATTTCCTAAAAGATCCAAAACTTCTCTAAAATTAAAATTGTTGCTAAAAACGCATACAAATGGTTAAAGGCAAAGAAATTCAGAATGTGACAAATATTGAAAATCAAATCAATGTTAAATGCTTTTTGTTATTATCAATTTAAAAATAAAATATTTTTAAAGTGTTGTTGTAGCAAAGTTGCGTTAATTATTGATTTAAATTTTCTAAGATAACCCATAGAAGACTGTACTGGCCAAAAGTTGCCCTCACTTTTGGAAACTATCTTTGAATTTAAATTTCATTTTTTAATCCCTGAAATCTATTAACAACAATTACCACCGGAATCACAATTCTATTTCATATATTATTTAAACTGTCCTCCCTGTTGATTTAAATATTCCAAAAATTATTTGCTTTATCGAGTTGAAATTACCGACACATTAGACAATATTATGTTTTTGGTTTTTTTGTAAATATTAAGGCAATCTGAAAGCCCAACATTTTTTCCAAGTAATTGAATTCAAAGTTAATTTTTAGTTATTTTGAAGTTCGTCATTAATCATTTTTTGTCTTAAAAAATAAATGTAATTTTGGTCGTCTCTAAATACGCTTTTTGATACTATCATTAATGTTTAAATATTATTATTATTTTTAATTGTGGCCATTGAAATTTTCAGGCGGGGTGGTGGTTCTGGCCGCCTCTCTGAGCATCCACTGCAGCCGAGGCTTCGGCGGCTACGAGCCGAGCGGCTGCAGCTGCGCCAAGCTGCGGTGGCTGGGGCCGAACCCTCGCACGGCCGCCCTGCTGGCCGCCCTCTGGGGCACGGCCCTGCTGCTGGTGGGCGCCCTGGGGGTGCGCGCCACCCTCACCCTCTTCCACAGCGGCCACGGCCCCTTCGCCACGGACGTGCACATCCTGGCGCTGGTGCAGCTCAGCCTCGTCCTGCTGGTGGTCGGCGGCGCCCTCGTCGCCCTCAGGGTCGACTGCAGCCGCGACCCCGACTGACCTGTGGCCATCGCGCACGGCACCACGGCCGCCTCCAGTGCCAGCAGGTCGGCGTGGATTGCGTGAACTTTTGAATGGAAAGACTTAAAAATATGTGCAAAAATAATGTATATCAGCGTAAAGCAGTGGAATTTAAATTATATTTAAAATATTTGTGTCATTTTGTTAAAATTTCTTAATCAATTTTCATATTCACGTAAAAAAAACTAAATCTTATTCTGCATTTTACATTTTGTTTTTTATTCACATAAAATTAATTTGTGACAATAAATCATTCAAGTTGTTTGATGTTAATGATGTTTTTATTTCGTTATAGCTAAATGTATAAATTCGTCTATGAAAATAAAGAAATTTGTAATTGAAATAAGTACATTTTAATGATTGTTATTAATTTTTTTGACCGAGTAGCATCTTCATGGTGCAAAGTGTTGGTTAATTAATTAACTTTCCATTTATTTAGGCCCCTCTTTAAAAAAGAAATTGAAGATTATAAAATGAATGGAAATGGTTAATTGTGTAAAAAAAGTGCATTTGTCACTTTACTTTTTGATAATTTATATTCAAAGTTAAATTTTCTTAAAATATCAGTTTGATAAAATAATAATTTTAGCTTCTTTTAAAAACCAATAATAATTACAAACGAGCTTAAAAATATCAGCATTATGATAATTTTTTTCCATCATTTTCGCTGGACTTAACTAATGATATTTAATATCAATATTCAATTTTGAAATTTTTTTATGCTGGAGTTTTAATGGTGTATGTATCTAAATTGATCAAAATGATAATTTTTCATTTAATGAAATTTGAAAGTTTTGGTGATAAAAATCAATTGTATTGTACGACTATGTTCTACGTTCGAAGCAAGACAATAAAACTAAGAAAAAACAAAAAAAAACCATCATCAGTCTTTAGGGTGTGGAAAAATACGCTACCTACCGGCAGGCCGCTGTGCCGCCGAATTTTCTTGACTCGCACAAGCACAAGGCCGCGCACCAGCCGCACGAATCCCATGAGAACAGAAGCCAGCGGCAGGGAAGAATTTGGATGAATTCATAATAATTTCATTTGGCGGCACGCAAAACATTTTATGCCTGCTGCTGGAGAGTGCGAGGTGACGAGGTGGGGGCAGCGGAATGCCGAATTTTGTGTCTCCCTGTTTTTTTTTTTTTTTTTTTACTTTTGTCTGCTCTTTGCTTGCTTTGGCTCGTCACGTCAGTCTGCGTCTGCAGTCTGCTGTGCTCGGTAAAAACTCATGCAGCTCAAATGGTAAAGGATGCCTTGAGTCTTGATCTGCACTGGCTGCAATGCTATGATCGTCAGTTGCCTGTTGCCCCTTAAGCAAAAGCTGTTGACATTTTTGGGTAGTTTTAAGAAAAGTTAAAAGTTATTAGCGATATTAAGCCATCCCATATCAGAAGGTTTTCTCGCGAGATCAAAAAAGCACGTATGTTAATGATTATTTTTTATTTTCTTTGTATCCTCATTGATCCTCATTTTTTACTTGAGCAGCAAATACTATTTTGTATTACATAATTATGTGTTATATTTATATTTTTAATCTTATTTTTTTTATCACACATTCATTCAGATCACGAAGAGCCAACTTCTTCGATGTGGATCGCCCAACATTATTTTGCCTCAAAAAGCTGAAATTGTTAATTCATTTTTGAGGAATTCCAAAACTCACATTCACATACCATGGAGCAACCGGTCGGAGGTAAAAATTTTTGTAAGTATTTCTTTTGTGTTCACGGGGAAAATACTACGAAGTTAATTTAATTTTAATTTAATCAGCACAATTTTATTTGTGTAGATCTTTTTAATTCTTTTTTATCATATTTTTTTAATATCCTCAAGACAATTAAAATAAATTATATTCATTAATATAATATTCATTTTGTTTGAAGAAGTTGACACTCGAGGAGATGATCACATCATTTCTATAATATTCATCTCAGTTTTTTAAACTTTAAACTCAACAATATTTAGAAGAAATTATTTGACTTATTCTTAAGTTCATAGTTCATCGTTGAAATATTGTTTATAATTGGTTCAAAACTTTCCCTGTCTAAAACGTAAATGATATTTTTAATTTATTATGTAAAAATTTTCAGCAAATAATCTAAGTTAACTTTTTTGTTTTTCCAGGGAATAATAACGCTTGCAAAAGAAGCGCCCAGCTGCAGGCTCTTCATTATGATTATCCAACACTGAAGAAAATCTTCCTGTCAACACCATTGGCTATGCTTTCACAGCGACAAGAGCTGTTTCATCTTCTCAGTTCAGACAAGCCTCTTGAAGTTCTCGCATTGTTAATTTTATTCAGCATATTTTTTCAATTAAATTTTCTAAAATTTAATAAAACAGGTTGGTTCTCACCCTCCTTGTTGATGGAAAAGGGCCTTCCATTGGGTCGAGTATTGTAGAGCTGCTCAAAGTACTTCCCGAGGATGTGAGGGAGAAGGTGACCGCAATCATGTTGGTGTCCTCGGTTGATACGATTTGCGAATTGTCGAATCAATTTCATTCAAACAACTACCAACGCAGACAGTCAGCACAGAGGATTGGAGCTTCTCTTGCACACATGTGCAGACACAGGAACAATCCATGTCTGTTCTTGCGAGTTCTCATCAGTTTATTTGATGTTAACAACAGTGACCGCTGGTACACCCATTTGATTTTAGTGGAGGCATTCAAAGAATGGTCTTTTGTGGATAACAATTTGTTTGAGGAGTGCATCAATACAAACAAGGAAAAAGGAAAACAAAAGGTAAGAGTTCCGCTCATTAAAATAATGACAAAAGTTTTGATTTTTGTTTGAACTCTCCAAGTGGCTACAAGAAGTACGAGTATTTATCATTATGTTCTGATTTTATGTTCTTAGGCGGGTGTCTAAATAATGAATACTAATGAAATATTAATCAAAATTTAACTTAATTAATATAACAGGAAAATAGTAATAATAACGTATAATATTCTAACTACATGGTAGTGCTTTTTCACAATTCAATCTATTTTTCCTATTTTTATATAACTTTTGAAAGAAATTAGATTATTACTGCAAAACTTATAATTTCTTACTTCACTGAAAAACTTAATGTTATTAAACTTTTATTTCCACACAGGCAGGCATCTTGATCCAAAAGCTCAATGATTCCGCCAAAGATTGTGATATTGCTGTTCGCTACGGAATTCTTATTGCCCTCAACAATGATAAACTGCAAAAGTTTGCTTCTTACTGTCTGCTTCCGATGGCCATGAAGTGTACACAGAGTCCTCAGAAAAGTGCCTGGGCAATTGACACTCTGGCCATAGCTTCTTGCCTTCGTAAAAGTGGCTGCGTGCTAGCCATGCGACTTGGCCAAGTCAGTGATACCATCTCAAGATCAACCAGTTTTGTTCCACTGCAAGTCTCTGAAGCTATTGTCAGGGCAAAGATTTTCTTGGAACAGAGCGAATTAATAAAGTCTAATTTGGAGATGCCGCAAGATGCAGAGTACACTCAGCTCCTCTGCAAAAAATTGGAGACTCAAAAGTCCTATCTCAGTCATACTGTGAGTATTTATTAGAAAATATTGAGCTAAATAATTTTCTGAAATAAATCACGTTGTTGAGTAAATTTACATTGTTGATTGCTTGAATTGAAAAAATTATGACTTGTATATATTTATTCTTGAGTTCACAGCAGTCTCAATTTGAATTTTGCAGGCCTTTCCTTTAAACAAAGCCGTTTTGGAAATATTTAATTTAGAATACACAGTCGCAGAAAACCTGAGAGGTTTGAAACTCCAGACACCAGAGCCAGCAGTCACGGTATAGTAATATAACTTCATAATTTAAAGATATCAACTCAGTATCCAACTTAATACTCTAACATCACAGCATTGCCCAACTCAGGAAACGAACTGCAGCAGCAGCGCCGTCTTAAAAGAGCAAAGAATTTTGCACTCTCCACTTTCTAAACAGAAGAGGCCCTCATCACATCCAGATTCAAAAAGACCCTCGTCACCTTCACCACCTCCGAAACTAAGTCGAATGTCCTCACCTCAACCAGGCCCATCTTCACCAAAGCCTTCGTCTGAGTCTCCTTTTCCACCAGCACCCAAGTGCTCTGGAAAGGAACACGATCATGGTAAAATTTAATTTTTAAGATTTTTTATTATAATATTCCATTATTTTTCTACACTCTATTTGCTGAAAACAGAATTAGAGGAAAATAGGTTCAAAATTGCGGTTAGTGCTGGATATAGGGATGGGGAAAATACATTGAAAGTATCACACACTGGTTTTTTGAGAATAATATACATGATCACCTGTAAAATCCTTTTTTCTTGTAAATGAAATAAAATTACTTTTTTATAAATAATTTTGTAATGTAAAAATGTTATTATCAATTTTCAGAGCGCGCTATTCTTGACGCTTTGAAAAGTCTTGTCCATTCCTCTATGGACTTCACCGCGTCCGACATTGAGAACCTTTGCCAGGAGGTATGTGCAATGCTGCCTTCAACCAATGAAAATTTGCTTGCAAAGTGAGTTTTATGTGAGTTATATCTTTATTTTAATTTATATAAATATATTTATTTTTGTAGGTGCTTAATTCGCACCTTCATCGAAGTCTCTGGCAAAGAATTCGAGTGGCCTTTTATCATCACGTGCCTAATGCTGACCAGCTCAGGGTGGTCGTCAGTTGTGGAAAACGTTATGCAGGCCATGCCAAGTTTTGTCAGCACAGATGGACAAGCAAAATCTGCAGCCGAGCAGTTTGGGCGCATTGCTGCTCAGCTTTGTCTGCAAATGAAGCAAAAGCAGCTCTTGATCACATTCCTAACCAAAGTGGTTTTCAACCAAAGCCCAGAGTTCCTCAGCGTCTGCAACAGCGCTATTAATGTGTGGCCCGAAGTTGTTGCCAGTAACTGTGCTGAAGATGAAACCAGCAAAGCTCTCACCTTGACTTTGTGGAAATTGAAGTCCCCTGAGCAGGGATCAGTAGTTGAGGAATCTCAATGTATTCAATTGGCAAATCTCCACACCATAAGCTCACCTTGAGTTACCGTCTTACCTCAATGTTTAATGGCAGGTAAATCTTGGTCCTGGCATCAGTTTTGAATTAATATAATTTCTTATATTAACATATTCTGTGCTGAAATTTTTGACTTGCATTTAGTAATATGCATTAAGATTAATTTGTTTGCATTGATAATGGAATTTTTGTTTGTTCGTCATTGTATTTGCAAAAAAAAAACTATCCTTACTGCGAGAGCAAATTTTGTATGTAAACATTGTAAACTTTTGTGATGAAAATGAGATTTCCCAAAATCACTTCCTTGATTGAAAGTCTCTAACAGAATAATGCTAAACTCAATAAAGATCAAACTTTAAACTTCAATTTTATTATATTTAAAATTAGGTATATTATAGATTTTAACCGGCAATACATGACATATTACACATTTTTAAATAACATTTTTTAATAAAGACGATAAAGGCATTATAAAGTACGTGCTACGTGCTTAATGAATGCGTAGTGAAATCAGGTCTTTAAAACAAAGTAAAAGCAATTCTCGGTAATCATTTCGGGAATTTGAAAAACCATATTTTTATGAAGACATACCTACATTCACGTTGGCACTGCTGGTCACTGGTCTTTTGGCAATGATTGCATTAATTATATTCCAGGATTACTAGTAGTACGTATATATATTTATTTATTATTTTTTATTATTGGATCAATATTTTTTTTATAAACCTGTATGATATTTAAAATTTTATTATTTCTAATCAAGATTCATCTCTTATTTGAGGAAATAATAATTGGATAATTATTTTGTTTGCTCGTAATGCTCGTCGACCCAGGGCGGCACGGAATACCCTCGGGGCCTTAAAGTTTAAACCAGAAGTGTTGTCCTATTTTTTTTTAAATTTTGTCATTCATTTCATACATGTATACTTGATTTGTCAAAAAAAAAATAGTACATATCAAAAAATTTTATTCTTGATGCAATGAGACTATGGTATAATATCGACTAGCTATATATGATTTATAATTTATTAATTAAAATCAAACAATCAATGGGATTAATTTACATAGTTTTGAGTCCATCCGCACTATCCTCAGAGGAATTTTTTTTTTTTTTTTTTTAGATCATAAATTATTTAAATTAACTGAGCAATCATAGTATCATGCCCGGACATGCCGTCGCGTGGTTTGGAAGTGGATAATAAGGGGCGTGATTATGTGATTGAGATTGAAAGTCGAAAGGTCGCTTAAAGCCAAATCATCCTCTGTCTTGTTTGGGTTTTCTGATGAATTCCGCTCCGATGATAGTTCAATGTCACATATTATAATTCGAGTAGAGAGTAGAGCGGCTGTCTCCACACGAAAAACTTTTGCGTGCGCATGAAAACGAATATATACGAAAACGGAAAAATATATAACAGGCGCACGAGAGATCTCTGTCGCAACTTCGCGTGCTTCGCGGCTCGCGCATGCAGATGCAAATTGCAAGCAAAAGAGACGCACCGCACCGCACGCAGTTTTTGTGGACTTGTTTGCGCAGCAGAATTGCAATTTGTAAGTCAACGAAAAAAAAGCCAAATCCGATTCAGTTTTCAGTTCTTTATCAGCAGTTTGAACGTCGCAGTTAACTAAGGTGTCGTCTGTTGTGAATTGAGATTTTCACATTAGATCCTGGTGTGGTCCGTGGTCCTCTACAATTTTCTCACTTCATAATTTCATCATGGATCAGCAAGAAATTGAAGGCAATTAATTTTTATGCATTTTTTTCTAATACATAATGTGCATTATTTATGATTATACATAATTATAATGTTTTCTCCGCAAGTCATATTGTACATAAATTGCGTTTTTTGTCCATTTCAGTTAAATTATTTGAGCCTTCATCATCTCCACGAAACTTCACTTCTGATCCCCGTTTTAACTACAAAACTTTGAACAACATCTTGCCAATCTTCGTGAAGGTTACGTTGGAAAAGGACGAACTGATCAAATTCTTCAGTGAAGCCAAGTCTGCTGAAGACATTGCTAGGTAAAAAGAGCATAATAATTTATCAAATTTAATAAAATTCCAATATTTCTATTTAACATTTTTGACAGGCTCCTCCTTGCCATTGTCGTGGACAATTGCAAAGGCCCTGAGGTGGCGATGACCAGAGTTGTGGAATCACTCAAACTGGTTCCTGAGCATATGAAAGAAAGAGTTGAGGCTGTGATGTTGCTTTCGTCAGTTGAGACTATTTTAGAGTTAGCACCTAAGAAGAAGCGGAGGCAGTTGGCACAGAAAATTGGAGTTTTCTTTGCCCGATTCTGCAAGGACATGCAAGATCCAGCTTTGTTCTTCAGAGTTCTTCTCAAAGTTTTTGAAAAAACAAATTTGCCAGGCTGTGAACAGTGGTTTATTAGCCAGATCCTTATGTCAGCATTCAATGAATGGCCATTTGTGAACCACAAATTGTTTGTTGAATGCATTGAGACAAACAGGGAAGTCTCAAAAAGGAAGGTGTGCAAAGCCCGTTACCTTAAAATCTGTCCAAGAAATAATTTTTTATTTTACTCCAATCGATTTTAGTTTGAAATGACTTTATAAAATAATTTAATTATATCTATTTGGCTCTTTTAAATATTTAATTCAAAATGCAGTCATCCTGCAATTAATTTTTTTTGACACGAAAATTAATTATTTAATTCTAGTAGCAAATTACCTCAAATGCCCTTAAGATTTAGCAGACTTGTTTGTACATTGGTGCCATTTCCTACAAGGATAATATCAAACAATATGCAAAAATATATATTGAAGATAATTATTTAAGAAAAATATCAAAGACCAATCTTTTTTATAATGTTTATAATACTTGGGATCTTACTATTTTAGATGCACAAAACAGTCTTAATTTATTTGTATTAATCTGGTATTAATTATCATTTAAAAAAAATGACGTTTATTCCAGTTTATTCATCCTTCTTAAAAAAATTTGAAGATGTGCAAAAAATAATCTCATTAATAATGTCTTTTGTCATTTCAGCAAATATTGCCTCCATTGATGACCAAGCTTAGCTTCTTTGCCAAAACTTGCAACAATGGTGTTCGCTACGGCATTCTCATTTCCCTCAATGATAAGCTGCTGAAAACATTTCTAATTGAGGATGTGCTAAGCGTGGCCTATGCATTCATGCAGAATCCGCACAAAAGTGCCTGGGCGTTGGACACACTGGCAATTGCTTACAGTCTGCGCCGCACAGATGCCGGCTTGAAAGCCCCACTCATCAGAGCGTTAAAATATTTTGAAAAACAGAACCACTTGCTGTTACCCCTGGAAATTTCTGAAGCAATTGTCAGAGCTAAGATACTCATGGAGCTGAGTGACTATCAGCCAATGGACAGGCTGAAGATGATGCCGACCAGTGCAGAATCCGTCGAGAAGCTCCACCAAATGATCCAAAATGAGAAGGTACTCATTGGCCAAGATATGGTAATTGCAGCGCATTAAAAAAAATGAATGAATTTTAATAAAACATGTTCCTTTTGTAGGCTATTCCTGAGAGCAAATCTATTTTGGAAAAGTTTAACTTGGACTTAATAATGGCAGAAGATCTAAAAAACTTGCAAAACATCCAGGCAATCCAAGTAGTTGTGAGCATAAAATAATTCTGCAAATCTCTTTAACTATATATTATTTGCTTGTCAGGACTTAACAGGGGAAAAAGACACCAGCAGCTGGACTTCAGACGTTACTGCAAAAAAACGTCCATCTGCTCAGCAGCAAAGTTCAACATCCTTGGATTTTATTCCTCTAGAGCCACCTACTTCTAAGCGCTCAAAAATTCAATATACTGGTGATTATTGCTGGTTATTAATATTTGTATATTGTTTGCAAATAATATATTTATAGAGAGCACTCTTCTTGAATCTCTGAGGGGACTATGCAATGGATTTGGCAATATCTCGCAAATTGAAATATTTAGCAAAGAGGTCTGTGCCATGGTGAACTCAACCAATGAGGATTTGCTAGCAAAGTAAGAAAGAATTTTTAAATTTTAAAATGCTTCAATTTAAATTTATCGACTTTCCAGTAGAGATTGGAAGAGAAAGATGAAAATCTTACAATTAAACAATTTATTTATTTCTAGATGTTTGCTTGGCCATTTCATCCATGTTGTTGATGAAGACTTTGAATGGCCTTTAATGGTAATGTGCTCAATGTTTTCCGAGTCTGGGTGGGCCTCTATTGTGGAGAAAATTGTTGAAGCCATGCCCAGTTTTGTGAAGGAAGCAACCAAATCTTCTGCTGAGAAATTCGGACGTGCTGCTGCTCGTCTGTGTCGAAATCTCGATCAAAAGGATCTCTTGATGTCCTTCTTAGCTCAAGTGATTGTAGATCAAAGCCCTGAGAATCTCACAACCTGCCGCGCAGCTCTCACCATTTGGCCCGAAATGCTCTCAAAATCTTTCGAAAATGTGACCAGCCATGCTCTTGCCCTGGCTTTGTGGAAACTGCACACACTTCAAGAAGCTTCTTCAGTTATTAGTGAAGGCAAGCAGCCTCCAGAAAAAGCAGCAACAAGTGAGGAGTCTGAGTCTGCGACTAAAGAAATTTTTGGGGATGAAAAGGAAAAAGATGTTTGCGAGAAGCTGACAGTGGAAGCTGAGATGAGTGCCAACTCTCAAGGAAAAATCGTCACTGATGAATCTCAACCTTCAAACGGTTCTCTAAATAAAACAGAAAATGAAGGGCCCACAGAGAAATCAAGTGATGGGGAGTCTGCAGCAAAATCTGTGCAGATCGAGGAATTTCCAGCAAAAGAAGGAGCTACAGAGGGGGTCTTCTGATAAGTAAATAATATGAGATTTTGTAACAGATTCATTACAGAGTGAGAAGAAGAAAAACCACATTTAAATTAAGTAAATACATAATATTGTATTTTGGTAAAACTGTACTTCAAAGTTAAATTTTCTGTGACCCATAATATGAATTGTGGGATGAGGGATGAATACTTCAATAAAACACGAGTTTTGTTTTCATCATGTGAGAATATAATAAGCTTTTCCATAAATATACAGCAATGGTTAAAGTATATTTTATCATTAATAGGTAATATCGAGGATATATTACAATAAACTCTGGCAATAAACATCATTTCATTCATTTTTCGCCTATCTATAAATACATATACATGTATTAATTAAGTATGCCAGTAAAATTTTTTTGGGAAAACTAAAATAAAGAACTTTGTTTCAACTAAAAAGTCGGTGTTTCAAACTGGACAATGCACGCTACGCAGATACATAATTTTAAAGGGAAATGTGGTGCGATCGTGGTGAATTGATAAAAATCACGTTTTAAAAACTAAAAACACGTATATAAAAGAAATGCAATTAAGTATGGCAAACTTTGATGATTTTAGTAATAAAGATAACTGAATGGTCTCACTAAGCAACACATAAGCACATCGGGTTTCCTCGTAAAGTATATATAATTATAATAGCTAATGATACCGGTAGATTCTCAATTTAAATAGAGCCAGCAGTGCACAATGTGTTATTTTTTATTTACTTTGAATCGTTGGGCCATATTACTTTTGTATTCAGATAACAACATTGATATATAGTTTTCTTCATATTACGGTACAGCTTAAATGACGTCGGAGACAGAGATTATTCGATCAATTCATTTTAACAAATTTTTTCTTTAACCCCAAATATCCACCAGGGATTCGCATTATTACTCGACCACTTATTACTCATTAGGCGTGTGAATAGAGTCATTATCTGCGTACACACTTCTTAACACTGTTTTGCGCGTGTTTGTGATGAATTTTAATTTATCCCGCTCCGTATCGTTACCCAATATTTTTTATCAGCCGAACGAGACAACTAACAACTTTTGTTCGTACAATACTTTTTTCATTATTATTTATTCAACTACGCCTGCACTATAATTTTTTCCAGGAGTTAATAATTTTAGTTTTCATCTTTTCTCAGGATATAAAAAATACATCTTCGTAGTTTTTGTTTCAGACCTTTCTCGCGAAGTTGCAATTTCATTAATTTATAATTTTCGTCGGCTAAAAACTTCTACGCTTACACAAGTTCAAATCGTGTTGATTTTAATCTCATTATAGTGTTTTTTTTTTTCATTTTCGTTCTATACTCTGAATAATCATATGCGCCCATATAATTTATCGCAAGTACTCAACAACAATCGATTTCTTTAGGATTCCGAATATTAAAGCAGAGTGGGGGTTTCTCGTCGACTCTCTGGCGATACAGTGTGCAGTAACGAACCCTCAAAAATCTCCCTTCATTTTTTTTAGGAACAATACACGCCGCGACAAAACTGAAATCACTACGCACGGTTAATTACGACAAAAAAGAGAGAAAATTCCAGTCGGCGAAACTGAAATCCTCCCTCGGAACAGACCTACTTATTTTTATTCTCTTTGTGTGATGTTTTTCATTGTCCTCTCCTCTATATACCCGCAAATCACCCTTACAAATAATTTATGCACATTGGACGGCTAATACAATTCTCAATTTTTAATTTTCTCTCACTTTGATTAGTGAAAACGAAACGCGAGTAGTGCTCGATTTTGAAAACCTAACAAACTTTGTAATGACTGCTGCCTTTTGTACAGGTAAAAACCAAATAACTGATCAATTGACTTGGCCATAGCTTCAAGCTATTTCAAGAATTTTAGTTTACAACCAATTCATTTTCATTTTTTTCAACAAAACAGAATACACTCACAGCATTGAGTAATTTCGTTCACATTTTTTTTCTAATTAAAATTAAACAGTGTTTTACAAACTCGGAGAACTGTGCATAAATATTATGCAAATGACAACACGTTATCAAACAATCAAAACCAGGGATTTTTTACACAAAATTACATATAAGTGATTTTTCTCCACAAGCATATAATCAACCGTATTTACAGAGGATACAGTGAGTGTCCATTAAATTGGCGAAATTCGCCTCCATTCACCCAGTAGTTGTTTGCTTTGTGTGTATTAGTTAGTAGTAGCCACTTATTGTCGCAAATAATAACGTACTTTCTCATTTTTAATTATTTATACATTTACAGCAAAGACTTCTTTATTCCCAATCAGATCTAAGCGGCTCTGATCGTTTCACTTTTCAATTTACACTAAAAGTAGAACAAATAATATAAAACAGTAGAATAAAAGCAAGAATAATATTTCTTCTGACTAGAGACACAAATCATTAAATTTTGTGTACTTAAAAGCAACTTTCAGTAGCAACTCTTTGAGGAGAATTAAGAAGGCTTAAAAAATTTGTTAAAAATTATCTGGTTTTTGTGTTTTCCTTTAAGAAAAAAAAGACTATAAAACAAGTTAAATTACTTTTGGTACCATCACCTGACGTTATTACTGGGGGTTAATAAAAACTAAAAATTACTAATGAAAATTAAGGGAAAGTAGCACAACGACGAGTGAAAAGACTGGAGAGATTCCGATTCAGTTGTCATCTTAAAGACTTCTTTTTGTTAGCTTGCTGCTTGTTTGCCGTCAATTTGTCCAGCTCGCTCATCGCTTCTTGAATGGCCTTTTCCAGCTGCTGGTTCATTTTCCTGCCCCTGGGAAAACGATGTAATGCAAAAAATTAAATTGTGAAATTAGCAGCAAAATTATTCAAATTAGCAAGTCTATTCCTTCACGCGTTTGTAATAAATTTAGATTTCAAAAGAATTCACCAGTAATTTTATTCAATCAAAGTTCAAAAACCCATTAAAATACATTAAATTCTGGCCAAGCAGGATTTCAATAGATTTATCATAAGAATAAGAATGGCGGTCTATTTACAATTTGGGGGGCGACAGCAGATTTCGAGGTTTGCACACTCGAAAGGTGCCTGTGTTCTCGAGTGAGACTCACTTGCGGAGCTTCTTAGTGGCCGTGTGGTGAGCCTCGAGGCCTTCAGACAAACTTTTCAGGGAATTTAGCTCGATTTGGGAGTGCAAAGTGGACCCAAACCAGCGCACCCACCCCTTGCTCTTGGAGGGGGCGCCGCCGCCCTCGAGCGTCTCGCTCAGGGACACCAATTTGCCGGGCCACGAGGGCGACCCGTTGAAAGGACCCCACACCAGGTCGCCTTGCCTCACAACACACTTGCGGTCTACGAAAGCAAATGAAACAGAAAAGAACAAAAATGCCTCAGCTACTCAATGAAAATAAAATTTATAAACTTCTAAATAATTATACACAAAACAAAAGAAAGAGAACTTTGACTAATAGGAGGAAAATAGTGTACCTTGTTGAAGGGGGTTTGAAGGTGCTTCCTCGAGTTTCCGCTTTAAGGGCCTGCTTTTGTCCAGCATGGTGGAGCTCTCGACGGTGATCTCGTCAACCTTGGTGACCCAGCTGAAAGTGGAGTGGTCAGCAGGGTCAGCTTCGGAGCTGGTCACCCCACATTCGGTGTTCAGGGGCGTCAGAGATTTGAGGGGCTCCGAGATGGGCGACGAGGTGGTTGTGTCGGGGGGCATTTGCTCCAGAGGGGGGCTGTTGTAAATACTCGTCGGGATTTGCACCATGGTGGGCAACAGGGCCGCTGCCGCCTGAGCCGCCGTCTGCGTGGACACTGATTGTTTCTGCTGCAAGAGCAGCGGCCCTGTCAAGTCTTGAAACTGCTTGAGGATCAGGGGATTCACCTGGAGAAATTGAACAAAATTAATTTTTTGATAGAATTAATTCAATAAAAAATTCCTATCATGGGGAAATCAAAAAAAGATTTTATTTGTACTTGATGGATTGAAATAAAATTCTCGTCTCTTAAGGGATTTAGAAGTTAAAAAACAGTAAATTAATATATTTTTCAATTAGGATTAGATTTGTCAGAAGTTAAGGGTTTGAATATAAAGGTTTGTTCACATGGCACGGATATGAACCTGTACAGGTTGCTGCTGGGCATGGTTGTTGGCCGCAGCTACAAGGGCCGTCGTCGTCTGCTGCTGCACTATGGTGGTGTTTTGGTGAAGCAGGGTGGCGCTCTGGGTGGTCGGAGTGACACTTGCTGAGCAGGGGATGATCATAGGCTGCCCGTTCACATTCATGATGAACTGCTGTTGCTGTTCAGGTGGCTTTGGATGGCTCATCATGGTCAGTCCGTTCAGGGTCTGTTGGAAGCCCAGAAATTGCGACTGCGGGGAAATCAACTGGCCAACCTGGTCAAAATAGAATGATCCCATCTTATTTGAAAATTTCAACCACATTCAAACACATATAATCAAGAAATCAGGCAACATTGAGAACTTCCTAAAAAATAAAATTTTCAATTTCCTTATTGGAACTTGAAAATGTAGATAGAGAGGATTGGTAACATTTTAATTTTGTGAATCATATATCTTAGACTTTACACAAAGTCACTTCAGGGTCTCACTTTTCCCAATGCTAATAGATAGTTTCCAATTTATAATATTCACTTTCCATATTTTATGAAAACTTCTTTTTTCAATTGTTTGCGGAATTTTGATTTTTAAAGGAAATTTTCAAGAGTTGTACCTGTCCCGTCGCTGTGATTTTGTTTACAATCTGCGGTGCGGGGGCCCTGATGACCATTTGTGGGGCGGAGATCAAGTTCTGCTGGCCAAACTGCGACTGCATCAGGAACTGATTGGGCAGCTGCAGCTGCACCGTTCCACCACCCCCGTCGGTGGGGATGAGAGTGCCATCGGGCAGGGTGCTCATCATCATGCCTTGCAGACTCGGGACGACCAGGGTCTGGATGGAGGGGAGGTTAGACATGAAGTTGGTGCCATTCAAGAGGTTCAGGGGTTGAATCAGGTTGATGGGGTTGGCGCCGAGGGGCGACTGTTGCTGACTGGCCCCCTGCTGCGGCAACAAGAACTGTGGCTGCTTGTTCGGGAGAATGGTGAGGGTCTGCAGGAGGGGTTGCTGGAAGTTTTGCATGAACAACGGACTCTGCAGGATTTGCTGCTGTTGGGGTTGAGGGGTGTGTTGTTGGATTTGCTGCGGCGCAGGTGCCTGCTGGATGGGTCGCCGCTTCTTAGCCCTTTTCTTCGGGTCCTCGGCCGGCAGGGCGGCCAAAAGAGGACCTTCGACGGTCACCGTCTGCTGCAAGGGTTGGTGGAGCAGCAGGGGTGTGTTGCAGGGAAGGGTGTTGACCAGCTGCATCATCGGCTGCTGAAGGGCAGACAAGACGTTCGCATTTGTGTGCTGCGGTGAAGGGGCGAGTTTCTGTGCCGCACCCTGGAAGATAAGTTGCTGGCCGTTTGAAGAGACGAAAATGTGACCCGGGGGTAGTTTGAGGTCGGTGCCTCCTGAGGGTGCGGTCAGGGTGAGTGGCGTCGCCGTTGCCAGCTTGGGAGGCACCTGGATGCTGCTCACAACGCTCTGTACCATTTCCAGTGGTGATTTGGTAGGGGTGCTCGTCGCCACGGCCGGCGCCTCCACTTTGTTCTCCTGCTGCTCCTGGAAAGAAAATCGTTTGAGAAAATATTCCAGTGGGTACTTGCAAAACCTTTGTAAATTAAGGGGCCCAGAAATTTATACCTTACATAAAATCCGGAAGGATAAATACGGCCGAAGTGCCAAAATTCTAAGGTAACGTAAGAGTTAGTTAATTGAAGAAAATAACCCCTCAGTTGCAAAATCTAATATTGAGAAACAACAAACCAAAATAGTTATATATTTTTTGTCCAGAATTTGAAAATATTGAAAATAGCTGCTTAAAATAATTGATGCATTTTAAACATTGGCTTTTGTATGGTAATTATATAAATTTTTCATCCTTGAACAACTTATAAATACAGTGCACTTTGTGAGAAATGAGCATACCTGACTGGTACTGACTGTTCCTCCTTGAATAGGTCCTTTAGGGTCAGGACTGGCCGTAGAGGTGACAGCGGGTTGGCTCTCCTCCTTGATCAAAGTGCACGCGTGACATTCAGAAGCGCTGTCGGGCGCAGCAGGAGCGCTTTCGGTGGCCGCAGGTGCTTGATTGCCACAAGTAGAGGCGGCCGGCGGCGTCCTGTTCAGCCCCTTGGGCAGGGTGACGTTGCTCGGCAAGGGCACAGCCTTGGCCGCCTGCTGCGGTGGTGGCGCCGGGGCTATAGGGGTAGTAGTACTTGAGGTGCTTGTCGTGATGGGTGAAGGGGCGGCGCTCGAAACGGTCGGGACCGCCAGGTTGGGGGCCTGAGGGGGCGGTGGGGGTGTCGGTTGGGGCGGGAAATTCTGCGGCCTCAAGATGGTCGAGTTCAAGAGGGCAGTCTGTTGCGCCAGGTAGCCGTTGGGGTCCTCCATGAAGGAGGGGGCGGCTCCGACAGGGGTCATCTCCGGCAGGGGCCGGTGACCTTCTACAGGTGGTGTTTCCCTCTTGGCTTTCTTGGCCTTGAGTTTTTTCCGCTTGGCCAGGTCGTCCCAGGCCATCTGGTGCGTCTCCCTTTCGTACTGCCACTGCTTTTCCGGCACTTGCTGCTGCTGAGGGTAGAAACCGCCCCCAGAGGTGGGTGGATAAATGTAGGGCGGGGGCGGCAGTCGCTGCGGCTGCCCCCGACTTTGCATGTGGTTGTGGTGCTCCTGGAACTGCTTCTGCGCCTCTACTTGCGAGGTGGGGAATGGAAGGTTCTGACTGTAGTTTGGTCTCGGGGGCGGCGGCGGAGGCGGGAAACCTCGATACTGGGGTGGTTGTTGCGGCGCTTGTTGGTTTTGGGTTGGATGTTGTTGTTGTTGTTGCTGCTGCTGCTGAGGATTCATCATGCTCGGATGGCACGAGATCCTCGATGGACCCTGAGGTTGCAGATGGGGGATGGGGTGGTGATGTGTGTAATGTGGGGGTGGCATTTGCGGAGGCGGCGCTGCTGGGAGCGAGTGTGGAGGCGTCTGTTGCGGCGCCATTGAACTGGTGTCCCAGACCTGAGGAAAAACAGCATAATTAATTTTTATTACTTGAAATGTAAACATCATATAAAAATAATGGACAAAATAATAACAAATATTTTTGGTTGATAATTTATTTTGATAATGATATTATCATCATAAAATCATAAAATATAAATAATTTTTCAAAAATATAAAAATCTACTATCTTTTACTTGACTAAAGAAATATTAAAATGCTATTTAAAAATCAAATTAAGTCCAAAAATAGCTTACACAATTATATTGAAATATGATAACTTTGATTATTTATAAATCCAAAATTCTCACAACGAAAAACTCATTAACCAATTAGAATGCCTTCTCAGTTCTCAGAGAACCAAACTAAAGGTAGTCTGTCTGGAAGTCTGCAGTAATTCAATCGCCTTTGGCTTTGGCAGATTAATTCTAAAGAGCGCCGTGTGAATTGAGGAAAAAAAGCATTTTGGCGAAGCCGTACAAAAGCAGCTTTTGGCAAAAAGTGCGTCGGGGGTGCCGCAAATTGGGGGCCAAACCGCAGGAATTGCTCAATTGCTCACCCTTGGCACTTTCTCGGGCTTGCCGTTGGCTTGTGGGAGCTCGAGCGGGTTTGGTGTTGGTGCGGTCGGCGCCGCTGCAGTTAGTGGCTGCTGATTTTCAAGTCTTTCTCTCTGGGCCAAAATTTGCGACACCAAATTGCGGTCGTAGGGCGACGCCGACGCCGCGGCCGCCTCCACCTTCCGCCGCTTCTTCCTGCCTCCGCCGACGTTGACCAGCTGCTGGCACTGCTGCCCATCTGCAATTCAAATAGAAACACAATTAATTTTTTTGATAAATGCCAGCACAAGAAATTTAATCTCAAAGGAAACAAAATTCAGACGTTATCAAGTTAAAATTTTGTTAAAAATTTCTCATCCTTGAGTTAATTTTTTTTGCGTTGCTGATTAATTTCAAAAGAGCGTGAATCGTGTTTATGCGCATAAATTTGGACCCAAGTACGCACTGGCGAGCAATTCGCAGAAAATTTAATCACGCTGCAAAAGTACGCAGCGCAAATAGTGGAATTACTTATTATTTTATTTTTTCTCCCTCGGAAAAAGAGCGTAATCGCGACTGTTTTTGCGGCCGTTTCCTTTTAGCGCGCTGATGAATATTGCATTAGCTGTACCGAAAATAATATTCATGAAAATTCATGAATATTACGAAAAAATAAATAAACACGCTGGCGTTCGCAGACCAAAACCGAAAAACTAATTTCCATGATAATAATTACGCCGGCAACCCTCTCGCGCCGCGTTTCATTTAAAATTTCATTACATTATTTCTCGACTCCCGTGGGAACAAAAGGGCGTAAAAGTAAGAAGTTGTGCTCCTCAAGTCTGTGCGTCCCCTTTTCCGCTTCTTATTATTCCCATACTAAGGTCCCGCAAGCCGACAACTTCCTAATTCAATTTCTCCCCTGGAAATAATGAATGTGTAAGACAACAACGCGCGCGAGAGAGAGAGGCTGAATAATAATTACACTCGCGGGTTTCGCTCTTTTTAATTTGATAATTAGATGTAATCACACACCGTGTTGGGCCCATTGTTTTATGGAGACAGCCGGCTGCCACCATCGGCGACCCTTTGTGCATTCGTGCCGTGGATATGGAGATGGCTTGGCTGATAATGCACTAAAACTTTTCTTTGCTACAAAAAGTAAATTCCTAATGACTATAGGGGAGTTTGCTTGCAACATGTGCAGATGTCTCCGTCAAATGCGTCATAAATATGTAATTAACTTATTAAGTTTAAAAATTACAAATCAAAATTATTTATTTTAAAGTAATACATATATTCCATAATACTAAAGTGGCAAAAATGCTATGGGCTAGACCCATCTTATAAAGATTAATACTTTTTAACAATTTATTTACATCAAAACCAGAAAAATCAACAACATTATCTTTCAAACTTAGTATCACTTAGTAGAAAGCACAGTCTAATTATTAATATATCGTTCTTACTTATTGTTCCCAATATTGACGCTTCAAGAAACTCACATGGAAAAAACCCCAAAATTCAAAATGACTATTTGAAATATAAATTTTATTAACCAAAACCAGGTTAACTAGATCAATAAATAATGTATTATCATGAATTATAAAATATATTTGAGTTTCATAATTTAAAGTATTATACTTAAGTTAATTTTATTTTAACAAATATGAACGTTTCCTTTTGTTGTTTTTAAACTCCTAATCCTACTGACAGACCATGTAATTAATTCGTCAAATAAATCGCTTCCTTTCTTCAACCCGTCGCAAGTTTCTCTCTCCAGCATGCCCTTTTTTGTCAGTCAATCCCGCCAAGTCGCAGCATGTGTTTCTCGCTCGTCTTGATACAACAGACATTTGTTTTCTCTTCAAAGACCCGGTCGCGTCGTCGCTTTTATTTTCAATAAATTATCCTCATGTATACCGCGCGAGTTAGTAATTTAAGGCGTCGCGTGAAACTCGATCTGGAAACATAATTTTATTCGAGCAGTTCAGAGCGACTCGCTTTCTTTCGTCACTTGGCGGAAAGCTGTGTTGGTTTGTAATGTGTTTGTCAAAGAGCAGCCCGATGACAGCTGTAAAAAGATCCGCCCGCCTCCAAATGGCGTGACACGCACACACGTATGGTGTGTCATTTGCGTTTTCTCGCGAGCGTCAACCCTTTCGGCAAAAAACAAATACGGCGGATCGTTGTTTACTGAAGCGGTAAAAGTTGATATTTGTGTACCAGGCAAATACGTTGGAAAAAGTAAACAAAAAAGTAATTTCTGTTCAACACGTATGTATGTATAAAATTATTGCAGCAACTGAAAAAAAAAATGTAGGAATTTTATATTTAAAATACTTTGCTTAAAAGATGATAGTTTTTTTATTGATTTCAGGGGAAAAATTTTGATTTCTTGACTGATTAGGCACGCAATAGTGTATTAAAATTCTAAAAAGGAAGGTATGAGTGACTTTTTTATTATCTCAATAGTTTAAATTTTAAAATGGATATTTATCGTGGAGCTCTTATATATTGAGTGAGAAATGCAATAGGACAAGGAAAAGCCTTTATCATGTTCAGATCTAGTTCAAATTAATAAATTTTCAACTTTTAAGGATTAATTTTTATATGTTTAACTTCAAAATAATGAAAATTAAATGCTTCAGAAAATTTTTAAGATATTAATTTTTATAGTAATTTTGGTCAGAATCTGTTTTACAAGAACATGGATTTTCCTTGAAAAATGTCATTTAAGGGTGTTTCTACGATAATGCGGCGCAGAAGAATTGTAAATATTTTTATTTTTTCTGAAAATATTATTATCTCGCCACACAACGTCGGTGATTTTAGGCCGGTTTTCTGAATAGTTAATTAAATACCGGTATGTAAAATATTTTTGAAAAATGCTTATAATTTTGGACTGAGGAGTGGTATTATTATAAATATCGTATTTTTCCATCATAAACTAATGCGCAAACTTAAATTTATACAATATACATGGTTTTCGTCGCAAAAAGTCCAAATTTTGGTGAAATTAGAACTTGCATACCGGTTTTTATTACACAATAACCGGTATATCTCAATATCTGTCAGAAGAAACCGAAATTTTTTCGTACCAACGTGAAGTTAGCCACTATAGCTTTCGAATGAGCCCATAAAAACGATATGTTTCTTGCCTTTTTAAATTTTGGCTGATGGATATAAAACGGTTTTTTTAGTTTTCCTGCTTCCGAGATAGGGCTATTTTTGAAAATCGGCTGTAACTTTTTTTTGGGCAGATGAAATTTTCTGAAAATTTAGACACGTATTAAGGATGTGATAACGAATCGGCCAATGTGCCATATGACCACACTTTCTTGGCTTTCCCGCATTTTCCAACCCTATTTGACCCTTTTTGGGAAATTTTGGATTTTCTCAAAAATGGAAAATGCAAAAATAATTTCCTTTGGGGAAGTTTGTGCCTATGAGTGACGTCAAATTTTGGCTATCTCAGATTTAATTTTCCGGTTGCATACCTTCAGGGGCAGGCATTGAAGTATTTTTACCCTGATTTCAGGGTACTTAACCCTTTCATAGAAAATAATTGTTAATGTAAAAAATATTGGAAATTTTATCAGCATTCAGAATATATGCTCGTTTTTAACGTAGGACTTATACTTAATGAGATACAAGCGGAAAAGCAAACCCCTTTATAACTCATCCATTTTCCGGAAAAGTCAGAAAATTTTTTCATAAAAGCTCTTATAATGGGCAAATAAAAGAGAAAAATTTGTTGGAAATATTTTGCAGTCATTTTTTCAAAATATTTGCAAATTCAGTGGGCGTACCCTACGATGATCGCCGAAACAGCCTTAAATTGGCTTTCAAGTCGTTTATTGTTTTTTAATTCAGTTTTTAAAATTCACCATTATATTTAAAAAAAAAAATAATAATCTGAAACTGAAAAAATAATTTAATTGATTAAATTAATTATTCAATCCCAACACGTTGATGTGGTGAAAGATCTCATATCTCATCACATTGATGTGGAGAAATATCCCAACTTTCACTGAATCAAATTAAATTTAACAAACAAGTTTTGACCAACCTTAGGAAAATCGGCGAATTCACGTCATTTGCATAAATCATTATTAGCTGATATTCAATTTGAGGGTTTATTCGCACGCAGCCGTAACATAATTCAGGCGGCGCAAGTGTTGTGCAAGTTGGTGTGGGGCGCCGGCCGATTAATTGAGTCAAGTGGCCGCAAGAGCGGCTCGTCGATTTATGCACTCGCTAATTTATCGACCAACCCTTTGCAATGTGAATGAAGCGAGCGGTGCTGCCGCCGGCGGCGGGCGAAGACGAGGAGGCCGAGGGTGAGAAAAGCAGCAGGGAAAATTGATTGCGGCTAATTCGCCTTCACGGCCGCGAGGTGTAGGTAATGTTTGCGCCCAAAACTTGATTCCTTCCCTCTTTCGACCCGCGCGCCGCCTCCACTCGGAAAAGAGCTCGCTCGCCTGCTAAATCGATACTTTAGTCAGCTTCAGCCACCGACGACCCTCTCTTTCCAACCCTGCGTGTTGTCCTCCGCCTCCTCTCTTTCTCTCTCTCGGTCGGTCGGTCGGTGTGCGCGACTGTGCGCGCAATTTACGTGACACGGGTCGGGGAATCGGAGCCGCTTAACGCTTAACCGACACGAGTGGACTTGAAATTTAATCGAGAGGGTGCAAAACTTTCGCTATAATCGAGACGAAAGAAGCACCTAAGGGGTGTCAAAAGCTGTCTGCGAGGTGCGAATGAATGCGCACCCACCAAGTAGGCAAATTACACACAGCAAGTTTGCCGATCAAAAACCTGCAGAATTGAGCAAATAATGTATAAAAAAAATTCCACAGAAATTTTAAAATAAAAGTAGCAATATAATTACTTTTTATTATTATTGAAAAAACATCTCTCCGTTGATTAGTTACAATTAAGCCGATCATTCTGATAGGGGTCAGTCACATCATTAAAACTTTGTTTTTTGTAGCATAAAATTCAATAATTTCATCTCTGCTGCGTAAAATAGGAAACTAAAAATTTACAGTGGCATTCAAATGTTTAAAATGTAATTTTTCTCCAAAGATGTATTTCAAATCGTCATCTTAGATTTATTTTTTATGCGACTATTGTTAGCAAGTTGGTTTGCCTGAAATACACATATAATTATTATTGCTGTTTCTTTGTCCAAATTGTTACATCACATGTTTACATACAATTGTTGAAAACAATTTATTTGGGAAAAAGGAATTT